TGACGACTCCCGTGAGGAAGAGGAGGAAAATGATGACGACAACAGCTTGGAGGGAGAGACCTTCCCCCTTGAACGTGATGAGGTGATGCCTCCACCCACCCAGCATCCCCCCAGCGACCGCATCACCTGCCCCAAGGGGCTGCCCTGGGCGCCCAAAGTCCGGTGAGTCCAGAGGCTCAGCTGCAAGGAGAGAAAAGCAGAGTCTTTAAGAGCGTACTGTGCTGAAGCTGAGGTGTTGGGAAGGTGGTGGAGGTGGGGGGTTGGTCTGCTGGTGGCTTTGGTGGCTGTTCTGTTGTCAAGGTGGGCTCAACGCCATCTCTCTGCCTGGCTGCAGGGTTATCCTTGTGCCCCCTGCCTGGGGGTTGGGCTGTATCACAGAATGGTTGATGTTGGAAGGGGCCTCTGGAGTTCAGTGGCCCAACCCCTGCTCAAGGCAGGGACACAGAGCCCAGGACCACGTCCAGGTGGCTTTGGAAGGAGAAAGGAGTCTTCACAGCTTCTCTGGGCAAGGCTGATGGGAAGATGTTGTTTTTCCTCTTGTCTTTTTGCTGCAGAGAGAAGGACATTGAGATGTTCCTGGAGTCCAGTCGCAGCAAGTTCATTGGTTACACTCTGGGCAGGTGGGCTCCTGCAAAGCCAGGCTGGGCAGCTCGTTTTGGGGCAGTTGGGGAGGGGGCTGCAGCAGAAGCTGCTGCTTTGGGGGCTGTCACGCTTCTCCTCTGAGCGCTGGTCTCTGACCTGCCCTTGGGAGCACTCAGGTTTGCTGCTGTCTGCACACAGCCCAACTTTTTCCCTTCTCTCCAGTGACACCAACACCGTGGTGGGGTTGCCCAGGCCCATCCACGAGAGCATCCGAACCCTGAAGCAGGTGAGTCTGCTGCTGAGTTCCTCCTCCTGTCCCTCCCTGTCTGTCAGTGCTGGGTCACCACCGCAGCAGGAATAACGGAGGCGGCCCCAAGCTGTGCTGTGTGGCCTTAGTGGGGGCCCGTGGTGTGAATCCCCCCTTCTCCCTGTGTGCAGCACAAGTACACATCGATCGCAGAGGTGCAGGTGCACATGGAGGACGAGTACCTGCGCTCCCCACTCTCTGGGGTGAGTGTGCAGATGGGGACAGGATGGAGCTCCCACGCGGAGCTGGGGATGCTTTGGCTGCTGGGAGACCTGGGCTTGCTCTGCTGCTCACTGGGGAAGGGGGAATGGGTTCCTCAGGAAGAGAGGGCTGGGTGTGAGAGGGGGATTTGGCCAGGGCCGGAGGTATCCTCACAGTGCCTGGGGCTGAACCAGCTGCTGTTTGCTCTCGGGATGAGGTTCGCTGCTCTCTTCTGCCACCAGGGGGAAGAAGAAGTGGAGCAAGTCCCCGCTGAGATCCTGTACCAGGGCCTCCTGCCGAGCCTCCCGCAGTACATGGTGAGCACTGCGGTCCCCTGGGCTCTGCTCCATCCTCCTGAAGCTGATCTGGGGGTGCCTCACCCTGAGGTCTCCCCTTGCTGCTCTGCCCCTTTTCAGCCACGCTCGCAGATTTTCTTCCCTCCCAACAAATGCATCACTGCCACCATCCTTTGCTGGGGAGAACGGCCTGTGGCTGGTTTCCCCTGTCCAATTTTCCATCTCTCCCTTTCCTCCAGATTGCTCTGCTGAAGATCCTCCTTGCTGCAGCCCCCACTTCCAAAGCCAAAACGGACTCCATCAACATCCTGGCAGACGTCTTGCCGGAGGAGATGCCGTGAGTGACTGAAGGGGCTGTTGGTGCTAATAGGAATGGAAGGGGAAGCTGGATGGAGCCGGGCTGGCTGATGTAGGCTGGCTCTGTGCTAAGGTTTCTTGGGTGGTGTGGCCATCTTCAGCTTGGTGGTGTGCTGGGAAGTGTGCACTGCTGCAGGAACTGACTGCAGGTGCCTGCTGGTAGCCCAGGGAACAGCAGAAAGCCTGCAGATGCTTCCAGGGTGAGGCTGGAAGGGTACAGGCACTGCCCCAGGCCAAGCATCTCTCTGTGTGCCCCAGGACCACGGTGCTGCAGAGCATGAAGCTGGGGGTGGATGTCAATCGGCACAAGGAGATCATCGTCAAAGCCATCTCTGCCGTTTTGCTCCTCCTGCTCAAGCACTTCAAACTGAATCACATCTACCAGGTGAGCTGGGCCAGGCTCTGGCCAAGCTTTGGGGGTGGGCAGCACCCAGGAGATGGGTCCGCATTCACCCAGCCACGTGGCTTTTCCCCCCAGTTTGAGTACATGGCCCAGCATCTGGTCTTCGCCAACTGCATCCCGCTCATCCTGAAGTTCTTCAACCAGAACATCATGTCCTACATCACTGCCAAGAACAGGTTGGGGAGGGGATGTGGGGAGAGGCTTCCTGCTTGCTTTTCTCCCTCTACAATCCCCCCAGCCCCAGCTGTGACTCGGCTGCAGGCAGACCCAGGCGTGGGACTGCGCTGGGCTCTGTGGGAGCAGCGTGACACCCCTCTCCTCTCTCCAGCATTTCCGTCCTGGATTACCCGTACTGTGTGGTGCACGAGCTGCCGGAGCTGACAGCAGAGAGCCTGGTATGCTGCTCCCTTCTCTGCAGGCTCCCAGCACCCTGCAGTGCTTTCTGAGAGGCATGGGGAGGCAGCAGGGCTCCAGCAGCCTTCCTGGCAGCCTCAGCGCTGCTCGGTCCCCGGTGTCGCTGGGTGTTCTGTGGGTGCCCTTGGGTTTTGGGGTGTCTCCTGGCTGCGTGCTGTGCGGTGCTGCTTTGGGAGGTGGGGGTTTTTGGAGCAGCACAGCTTTTCATCTCAGCGCCCCCACTCTCACGACTTGCTTCTGCCTCTCCTTTCCTGCAGGAGGCAGGAGACAACAACCAGTTCTGCTGGAGGAATCTGTTCTCCTGCATCAACCTGCTGCGCATCCTCAACAAGCTGACCAAGTGGAAGCACTCCCGCACTATGGTGAGGGCTGGGGGCCGGGCTGGGGCTTTGCACTGCACCCAGGCCTCACTGTGGGGTGGGAGAGCACTGGGGGGAAGGAAGGAGGAGTGTGCATGCTGCACAGCAAGGTCTGTGTGCTGGAGGGGGCTGGCACTGTGCAGCAGGGTGCCCTGCATCCATCTCGGCCGTGTCACCCCCCACCCCCGGCTGTCCCCACAGATGCTGGTGGTGTTCAAGTCAGCCCCCATCCTGAAGCGGGCACTGAAGGTGAAGCAGGCCATGATGCAGCTCTACGTGCTGAAGCTGCTCAAAGTGCAGACCAAATACCTGGGTCGGCAGTGGAGGAAGAGCAACATGAAAACCATGTCTGCCATCTACCAGAAAGTGCGGCACCGCCTGAATGACGACTGGGCTTATGGCAACGGTACGTGCTCTGCAGCCACCACAGAGTGCCCTGTCACCTGCTGTCCTCATGCCAGAGCTGCGCTGCTGCTGCTCAGGGCCGGTGCAGCCCCAGATCTGGGCTGCTGGGGGGAGATGTGTGGTGCTGGCGCTGCTGGCGTTGGAGCTGATGGTGACTGCTGGCCCTGCGCCTCCTCGTGCTGCTTCGTGGGGGCTTGCCAGGTCTCACCGTGGGGGATTTGATGGCCCAAAGAGCCCCAGCTGTCCTCTGATGCCCTCTTCTCTCCTCGCAGACCTGGATGCCCGACCGTGGGACTTCCAGGCAGAGGAATGCGCCCTGCGTGCCAGCATCGAGCGCTTCAACTCGCGCCGCTACGACCGGGCTCACAGCAACCCCGACTTTCTGCCTGTGGACAACTGCCTGCAGAGCGTGCTGGGCCAGCGAGTGGAGCTGCCCGAGGATTTCCAGGTCAACTACGACCTGTGGCTGGAGCGGGAGGTCTTCTCCAGGCCCATCTCCTGGGAGGAGCTGCTGCAGTGATGATGGCGTCGTGGGAATGCGGCTGGGGGTTGTTTGGGGAGAGGTTCGAGGTTATGGGGGGCAAAGCCTCGGGTGCTGGGGGGGGCTGTGGGTGCCTGGCCTCGTGCAGCTGGGATCTGAGACTCCATCCAGCCCCTCTGCCTCCTTCCAGGCTGTGCCGTGCTTCACCCCATACAGAAGCCGGTGGGGCAATGAAGGGGCCTTTGGTGCCGCTGTGGGTCGCTGGGTGCTGTGATAGGAACACGAAGGCTGTGTGCCCCCCCCGGGCAATGGAGGGGGGGCTGGGAGTGCAGTGGTGGTGGGGCTGGAGGCTGCAGTGTTCCCTCACCCCGCTGGGTGGGGTGGATGAGCTGTACATATATAATATATATACATATATATATTCATGATAGCCCTGAACTGAGCGCGGCCCGCCTCTGTCTGCGTCCCTCCAGCCTCATGGCAGCAGCACGGGGGGAGAAACCAGGTTCCTAAAAGTGTGCTTTTATTGTTTGTAAGGGAGCAAAATCTCTGTGGGTGGGAGGGGGCTGTGGAGCAGCGTGGGTCTCCCCATGGGGCTGCATTCCCTGCTGTGCCCATGGTTTCCTCAGGCTGCTGAGAGGTTTCTGGGGCTTTTGCACGGAAACTGTTGGGTTTGGGGTGTTATTTTGACCCAAATGGGGCTGGTGGTGAGGGCTGGGCCCCTCCCTCAGGGCTCCCCGCTTTCCCTGCCTGCCATCGGGATGCAGCAGAGTGGGGTTGATGTTTTGCTGTGGGGTGCAGGGAAGCTCTGAGGGCTCCTTCAGCCTGGGGTGGGCGTTGTGACAAGGTGGGCTGGCTCTGCCCCCAGCCTTTCCTCTCTCCCCGGCGATCCCCCTCTCCCAGCACTCATTCCCCCCACCCCACGCAGCCGCCCTGCCCCAGGACGTGGGCTCAGGATGGGTGCTGGGATGCTGTGTGCTCCACAGGTGTGATTTGGGGGCGATTTCCCCACGCCTCCGTGGTGCAGATGCTGGGCAAAGCCAACGGCGCCCTCCATCAGATCCCAGCTGCTCTGCGCTGCTCTCTGCTCCCCTCACCCCCTCCTCCTTCCTGATGCAGAGGGCCGGGCTGCAGCAATATTGGGATGCAGGAGGGATGCACCACGCTGCCTTGGGGGCTGTGTCCCATGCAGGGGTTACGTGGCCCAGCCCAGCAGGCTGCCCGGCTCCTTGGCTTTCATCCGCAGCGTCACCAGGGTGGGAGGTTTGTAGTCATTCTCTGATGGTTGCGACTCAAACTGGGGGGCACTGAGGCTCGGGGGGGTGAGGCCGTGCAGGGAGTAGAGGCTGTTGATGCCGGGGGGGTGGCCGGGAGAAGCAGGGATGCCCACGAAGCTGGTGATGTTGCTGTGAGTGTGGGGATACGGAGACACGCACGGCGATGGCACGCTGTCGGGGGGCATGAGGCAGGGCCCTGCAGGGCTGCCAGAGCTCGGCCACAGGTTGTTCTGCAGCTGGAAGAAAGGAGCCAAGACCCCAGAGTGGGCGCTGCATCATCATCCACACCCCGCATCCTGAATCGCCTCCCCCCCAGCCCACGGGGTGCAACCAAGGGCTGTCTTTGCTTTCCTTCAGTTGGGTAGGGGAGCAGATCCTGATGGGGATCTCCTTCCTGGCAGCACTGATCTGGGAGGTTTGTGGTGCGGGGGCCCTCATGGCAGCCCCCAGCCTCGTGTTCTGGTGCTGCTGCTGCTGCTTCTGTGCCACACGGCAGTCAGAGAGCAGCAGGGGAGGGGAGGGGGGGGGGCACAGAGCTGGTTGGTTTGAGGTTCTTTGTATGCATTTTAGTGTTTGGTGGAAAAGAAAGAAAGGCAGTTTTGCAGCAAGGCGAGGAGGTGAAGTGCTCTACTGCCTTGCTGGGGGGCGCTGTGACTGCAGGGCGTGGGGTGGAGCGCGGTGATGGGGGGTGCAACGGGGGGGGGGGGGTTCTCACCCCCTGGATTTTCCCATAGCGCTCCCGTTTCCTCCACTTGGCCCTTCGGTTCTGGAACCAGACCTGGGGGCAGAGGTGGGGGCTGAGGATTGGGGAACCCCCCCCCCCCCCCCCCGCCCGTCCCAGCAGGAAGAGCCCATGCAGGGTTGGTGCCAGGCCCGTGTTCCCTTCCTCTTGTACTTGGTTTTGGTGTAGGGTGAGGCTCTCGGGGTTGGGATCACCCTCCTGCCCGTCCCCTCTGTGCCTTGGGACCATGACAGGTCCTCCCCCAGTAAGGAGGACATGGTATGGGGGTGAATGAACCCTTCCCCCCTTTTCCTGCCCTCCCCATCGTGTGCCCCTCTGCTTTCCCATGCCCCGAGCTGGGCTCTTGCCCCACATCTTGTCTCTCTTGCTGCCCTTCGGATGGCACAAAGGAAAAACTGAGGCCAGGCCATGGAACACCCCCTGGCAATGGGGTGGGTTCGCCTTTCCGATCTCAGCATCCCCCTCTTCAGGCAGAGGAAGGCATCCCTCCCCCCGGGTCCCCCAGCCCCATACCTGCACCCTGGCCTCGGTCAGCTCTGTGCGCAGCGCCAGCTGCTCGCGGGCAAACACGTCGGGGTAATGAGTCTTCTGGAAGACCTTTTCCAGCTCCTCCAGCTGAAAGGTGCTGAAGGTCGTCCTGTTCCTCCGCTTCTTGCTCTTGCTCCTAGCCAGAGGAGGGGGCTCTGGCAGCAGGGGGCTGCCCAGGGGGGGGGGATGCCAGCAGTGGGGCTTTGGCCGAGGGGCGGCAGGCAGCGGGCATTGCGTGGCACTCGGCCTTGCAGCCTTTCTCGATGCCTGGAGGGGAGAGGTGGGGGGTTAGGGGAGCACGGAGCCGCCAGTCTTGCAGTGGGGGGATGAAGGCTGGGGTTCCTCATCGCCCCGTGGGATGGGTTGGGGTAGGGGGGGGCCGGGCACGGGAGGGGAGCGCTGCAGGACCCCCGCTTGGTGCGCATCTCGGAGGCTGCCATGGCATCTCTCTGCAGCCCTGACTCTCAGGAATCCATTTGCAAACCCGAATCTTGTCCACGTTGCTTCCAGTGCAATCCCTTTCTCCCCATGCAGCCCTGAGGATGGAGCCACAGCTCTGAACATGGGGGATCCCCCCCCTCCCCACTGCTGTGCCCCCCCCCCTAGGCTGTGCTCTGGGGGTCAAGTCCCTCCTGCTGTTCTCAAGTACTGCCATCCCAGCCCCACTGAAAGGCGCTCGTCCCACGGAGGGGAGGGCAGATAAGGATGGGGCCGAGTGCTGTGGCTCACCCCGAGGGGCAGAACTCACAGAGGGAACCTGGGGGAGAAGGGGGGGGACAGTGTGGGGAGCCCTGCTGTGCGCACCTGGGGGCTCTGCTGCCTATGGAGGAGCCCCCCCAGCTGCATTCCTTTGTGTCTCCCCCTCCCCAGTAGAACCAAGCCCAACAGCCTGGGCTGGCAGCAGGTGGAGATTAGGAATCCCTGGGGGTCTCAGCCCCTGTGTGGGGCACAGCCCAACCCTCAGGGCCACTGAGGGGGCCATCCTGGTGTTCCATCCCCGTGTCCCATCCCTGCACACCCCCACGAGGTTCTGAGCCCCCGACCCCACCTCCAAGGTGGCATTTTCCAGACCTTCCCTTTGGATGATGATGATGATGGCTATTATTATTATTATTTTGTCCTAATTGAGGCAATTTGGGGGTCACGGTGCACAGCCGCGAGCTGCGGGGCAGCTGCTTCGAATTAACGGCCCAATCTCATCTGGGGTGGGGAGGGGGGGAGCTGCTCCCCTATCCTCGGTTCCGAGTGGTCTCTGTACCCCCAAAAAACAACCAAGGGCTGCGGGATCCCCAGCTTTGTGCTCCTGGAGGGCTGAGCAATTGCAGGGCCGCGCTGTGCCGCTGCTGTTGGCGATGAGGGGACGTGGAGAGGGGTGAAGGCAAAAACCCGAACGCAGCGCCATGGGAAAGAGGGAAAAGGGGGATGAAGGAGAACCGTGGGCTGCACAAAGCGATGAGCTCTGAGCGGCGGCTTTGGGCCTTTCTGGGGGGTTTTGCCCTTTTCTGAATGGGCTGCAGTGGAAACTGATAAATAAAGGGCCCTAAAAGGAGCAGGAAGGGAACGGGACAGCGGGGTGCAGCGGAATGTGAACGGTTCAGAGAAAGGGATGAGGGGAGAGAAAGGAACAACGTGGACACCCCAAACCCACCGCCCCGGACGGCTCTGCCCCCAGCTGCGGAACAGCTGCAGCATCACCGGGAGGAGAGCAGCGCCCGCGGGGACCGGGAGCGGAGGGCCGGGGCTGCGGGGCTCCCGAGGCCGGACGGAGGATGCAGGCAGCGGTAAGCGGCGCTCCCCCCCTCCCCCGGTGCCGTTGGGTTCCCGTCGCGCTCGGCCTCGCTGTTCGGTCTATTAGCGGTCGGACGGGGCCGGGGCGAAGCTGAGCCCTCGGGGCCTCCGACGGTGTTATCGGGGATGGAAGGAGCGTGGAGCGCTCGGGGAGATCGAGAAACGATGGGGAGAGTCCCGCTGGGGCGGATCCGGGCACCGGGCTCCCCGCTCCCACCCGCGGCCGCGTTTTGCGCTCCTCTCGCATCGCCGGGAGCCCATCGGGTCGATCTCCGTGTCGCGACAGCGGGACCGCGTCGGTGATAGGGAGCGCAGAGCGGAGGGAGAGCGGGGCGGCGAGGGGCAGGAGCGGATCGGGAAAGCAAAGCCTTTGGTTGCGACCTCGGCTCCCCCCGCCACCCCAATGCTCCCCCGGTACCTGCAGCCCCGTAGAAGGGTCTCCCGTGGAGGAGGGGGCCCGGGCCGGCGGCCCCCAGGCAGCGGGGCTCTGCCCTGTCCGGAGGTCGGCGGGGAGGGTCCCCATGTGTGCCGGCTGCGAAGGGGCCGGAGGTGTGCAGAGGTCCTGGTGGGGCCCGGCGGGTCGGGGGGAAAGGAGAGCAGCCCCGTGCCTCCATGCTGCAGGTTGGAGGGAGCGGAGGGACGGCGGGGAGCGGGATTTTGTGTGGGGCCGGGGAGGAGGGGGGGGGAGGTGGGGGGGGAAATATGGGGTTGGAAGGGAGGGCTCGCCCAGCACCCCCGCACACTCACACCCACTCCCACCCCAACCCACTTCCACCGCCTCGGTCACGTGCGTCCTTCCACCCGCAGCGTTAACCCTCTGTTCCGCTGCCCCCCATTCCCACCACAGCCCTCAGTGCCCCCCTGGTGAGTGGGGTCGGCCAGGAGCAGAAATCCATCCCTGCCAGGACAGGGGCTGTGGGCTCTGGGCCTCCCCTCTGCAGTCCCTGTGCAGCAGGAAACGCCCAGGGCCCTTCCTCGATGCAGAGCTTCGACCCCAGGCCCTCCACATCCCGGAGATGGGAGGAACGTTCCCTGTTCCCCGCGTCTTCCCGTGTCCCTTCCTCTCCCCAGGCTGCTGTTTGAGGCCTTTCCTTCCCCAGCACTGGGGCTGAGGTCTGGGTGCATCAGTTTGGTGCTGATGCCATGATGCGGCGCTGCCAGACTCGCATCTCCATGCCTGGCAGAGCTCCTCTATCCCTGCTGCAACCAGAGCTCGTCGGAGTCCATCTCTCCCTTCTCACCCCTCTGCCCTCGGTGCTTCAGAGCCTCTCGGGCTGTTTGGGTCTGAAGGGGCACAGCTTTGATGGGGATCGTGGCTGGGATGGGGGTCAGATTTGGTGATTTGAAGGCTGAGAGTCACAGTGGGGCTGATCAGAGCCAAAGAGAGACGGCCGGGGGTCCCCACACTGCAGCCACGCTCTGTGCCACGATTTGCTGCTCTCCCATCTGGGCGGCACAGAGCTTTCGGTGGATTTGGGGCACTGCTCTGCGCCGTGGGACGGGGCTGAAGGGTGGGGGGCGAGCTGCATCAAAGCAGCAAAGCGTGTGCAGAAGGACCTGGGGGATGGTAAGCAGCAGAACAGCAGCGTTGCAGCATGCTGGTGCCTTCACTGGAAGGGTCGGGGCAGTTGGGGTGTGCTTTGCTGCCTGAGATCAACAGCAGCTCCTGGTGAAAGCACTCAGCTGGAAAGGATGGGGAGCACAGCAGGGCAGTGGGGCTGCAGGGCTGTGCTTTGGCTGCAGCTCATTTTGCTGCACCCACCCCCCGTTCTCCCCCCTCAGCTGCCCCACACTTTCCCTCTTCTGCTGGGCTCTCCCATCCGGCTGTCCTTTCTCACTGTGCACTGTGAGTTATTGCAGAGCAGGGGCTGTGAGCCCCGCTGCTGTCCCCTATGCATGCCGTGTCACTGAATGCTGTGAAGGGGGATTGGTTCCAGTGCCCCCCTCCCGGTTTTGCTGCTGGGATGTGGGATGCTCGCTGTGCCACCACGTTCTGGTTTCGGTTTCAGTCTCACTGGCAGGGAGGGGGGGGGCGGATGTCCCTGCCCGTGTCCCATTGGTTCCCCATGTTGTCTCCCAGCTCAAACACTGCGCAGTGCCACCAAGCTCAGCAATCCCCACCGCATGGCAACGGGTTCCCCCCCCCCCCCAGTCTGCTGTATTTGGGGTCTCTGCAGCCCAGCAATGCAGCGCTGAGCAGCAGTGGGATCCCACTCCTTTCTTTCCGAGCTCAGCCCTCCTCACAGCCCTCACGTAACACCGAGGAGCCCCTCCGCCTTCCTCTGCCCGTTGAACGCTGTGCTGAAATCCCCTGAGTCCAACCCCATGGCACACAGCTGCACGGGGCCGCGTTGTGGCTGCGCACAGGGACGGAGCAGCTCGCCGACACACGGATGGGAGCATTGGGGCTGCAGAAGGACAGACGGACAGACGGACACACAGGGATCGGGGCCGGGCACGGCTTGGGGGTTGCGTGGCATCGAGGTTTGGGGGTTTCTTTGGCATTGCTGTGGTGCCAGTGAGTCCAAGGCAAAACCCAACAGGGACAGAAAACCCGACAGGGACACAAAACCCAACAGGGACACAAAACCCAGCAGCGCCTTGGGCTCTGTTGCACAAATGCACAAACTGTTTATTTTTTCTTGAATTTTGGCCCCCACTTCCGTTGGCCGAGCCCCCTTTTTTTTGGGGGGGGGGGGGATCAGATCCGTCCTTGTCGGAGCGCTGAGCTCTGCATGCAGCATCCAGCCCCTGTTTTGCAAGCAGGCTGTGGGGGGGTCACAGTGGGGCTCCTCACCTCCTCCTTTTGCTCGGCGATGGGGTCGCTGTGAGCTCCATTTCAGCCCCCCCCCCGGGTCTCCCTCCCCCATCCCGGCAGAGTTTTGTGATGCAAAGAAGCAGAGATCCGTTGTGCTGCCCGAGGTCGGGGGGGGGGGGGGGGGGGGGGGAGGGTTGAACGGAGCTGTTCGGACGAGGTAACAAGAAGGAAAGAATTAAAATGAATAACGATAGAGAGCAAAACAGTACAAATAATTACGAAATAATGATAATAATAATGAAAATAAAAAACCAAACCAAAGGAAGGTTGGAAAAGGGCTCCCTATGGGAGCTGTGTGCGTGCAAATGCCCTCGGGGCGCTGCTCCCAATGCACCACTGTCACACGGAGCCACTGACCGGGCTGCAGCCCCCCTCCACCCCAAGGAAAACCCCAAACCCCAACCACAGCCCTTCCCAGCCCCATGGGACGGACAGACGGACGCTTCCCATCCCCTCACAGAGCGCTTCCAGGATGCGCAAAGTGATACGCACCGGGACGGACGGACGGACGGACGAAGCCCTGTGCCGTAAATCAGCCCAGCAGCGCTCCCCACAGCGCAGTCCCAGCGAGAGCTGCTCTGCAGATCCCTGATCCCAATGAACCTGGGAGCCACGGTTCGCGATGGAAAGCCAGAAAAGCATCAGAAAGCTTTTTCTTCCCTTAAAATGTAAGCTGAGTATTCATTGCTGGGCAAGGAGAAGTCTGCAGCAAATGCAAGGAGTCCCCCGGGCTGATGGGCAGCTCCATAGGAACGGGGGGAGAAACTTTGTGGGGAGAAAGGAGAGGGAAAAATCAGCAGCTGCGTCCCGAAAGGATGGAGAAATCTCAGCGCTGCCTTCTGGTTTGTGTTTAGCCCTTGGAAATGGTTCCCCCCCCCCTCAAACCTCCTCCTTCCTCGGGGGGAAGATGGATGCTGTGAAGTGGCCGACACCTGAAAGCAATCGGGGTTTGGTGGTGGGTGGGGGGGAGGAGGCAGCCGTCCCCGGGGGCACCGCTGTACGGTGTTACTGCTGTAGGGTGTGCTGTGGGGTGGATGGATGGATGGATGGATGGA